ATTCCTCGAATCTGCGGAGACACCTGAGAACTCACACTGGAGAGAAGCCCTTTGAATGCAGTCAGTGTGGGAAAACCTTCACCAGGAACTTCAACCTGATTCTGCACCAGAGAAACCACACAGGAGAGAAGCCCTATGCATGCAAGGACTGTGGGAAATCCTTCAACCAGCCCTCATCTCTCCGGAGCCATGTGAGAACTCACACTGGAGAGAAGCCCTTTGCATGCAGCCAGTGTGGGAAAGCCTTCAGGGAACACTCATCATTGAAGACGCACCTGCGGACCCACACCAGAGAGAAACCCTATGAGTGCACCCAGTGTGGGAAGCCCTTCAGGACCAGCACACACCTGAACGTGCACAAGAGAATCCACACGGGGGAGAAGCTCTATGAGTGTGCGACCTGCAATCAGGTCTTGAGTCGTCTGTCCACCCTCAAGAGTCACATGCGGACTCACACCGGAGAGAAGCCCTACCAGTGCCAGGAGTGTGGACGAGCCTTTAGTGAGCCCTCGTCCCTCAGGAAACATGCGAGGACTCATAGCGGCAAGAAGCCCTATGCGTGCCAGGAGTGTGGGCGAGCCTTCGGCCAGTCTTCACACCTCATTGTGCACGTGAGAACCCACACCTCGGGGAGACCCTACCAATGCAATCAGTGTGAGAAAGCCTTCAGGCACAGCTCCTCACTTGCCGTGCACAAAAGGACCCACAGTGGCAGAGAGAACATAAGGAAAGGTGGCTTGCCTTTGTCAGCGTCTCACTCCTACAGTGGCCCCTCGTCAGTTAGCTGTGGGTTTGTAGAAGTGTAAACATTTGGGCTGCCGATGTTCATAAAATACTTGTTAGCATGTGACTCATGTTTTCACGTCCAGCAGGTGAAACCAGCCCTGGCCTGTTTATTTCTTCTTACATGAAAATAATGCTTTCTTACTAACACAAGAAATTGTTTTTGAGGAAAGAATAGGAGTGAATGGGGGTGTGTATGTTTATTTCACCACAAATCCCTAACTGACGCATTCATCATGTCTGTTTATGTAAACACTTCATGGTGGTTGAAATTAATGTATTAAGTTCTACATTAGCCCACTGGATCAAGCATATTATTTGCGTAAACACACTTATAAATATTGATTTCTGATCGGTCATTTACTGAGAGAGGTGTGTTATACTCCCCACGATGGTGATGGAGAACTGAATAATTCCATCAGTTTTTAAGTGTATGTGTATATTTTGAAGCAATGGAATTAAAGAAAGCTTTTCACATTTTGTGCATTTCCTGAGAATTGTTACTTTTATAAACTGGCCCTTTTTCCCTAGTGATGGCTGTTCAGCCCTGTGCCCCGCAAGAGCCACTCGCCCTTAGAGCTTGCTGTTAATAGACTGCAGCCTCTGCCAGAGGCGCTGCATCTCTTAGTCTTCTCAGCAATGCCTTGAGGTGGGTCCTGTGTTCACCCCCACCGAACACGGAAGCTGGGGCTCAGCAAGTTGAGGGGAGTACTTGAGACCATCATGTGAGGGACAGGGAGTGACTTTCTCATGGTGCTCTGACTAGCCTGGCTTTCATTTGTACTGTGTTCTTTTATGTTTTAAAATACTCTTATTTGAGGGATGATTTATACCAAAGTTCATAAATCTGAGTGTGAACCTTGATGAGTTTTATGTGTGTCTACACTGACTACTACCCCATCAAAAAGTAAATACTTCATCACTGCAGAAGTYTCCCTTGGACACCACCCCAGTCTGTATGCCCTGTCCCCAGAGGTCACCACTGCTCTGACTTCTACCACCATAAGTTTTCACTTCCTGTTCATGGAAATTGAACCATACAGAGCCCTCTTCAGTTGTTTTTTCCACTGTATGTATCCTGTATTCACGTGGCACACCTCAATACTATGTCAGTGAG